TCGCTAAAGGCTGTTGTATTTTAAAGAGCCAGCTGCTCTAATAATACAGCCCTAGCCTGCTGTTTTTCTATTACTCCAATGATCTAGTAACCATTTTCTGAACATCAAATCAGCAATACAGTAGCCTAATAATCTCAATTCCAGAATTGTATATCTATTCATAACCCTTGAATTACCATACCAAAAATATAATCCATCAATCCTTACAAAAGTAACATCAAATCCAGAATTGTAAATCAGTCAAACCACTTACAAATGTTCAAAGCCTACAATCTACAGTTCAATACTATTTCAAACTAAAAACAGATATTTACCACTGCAGCCCTTCATCAACTTCCACCCTGCAAATTAACAAAACAACAAATATCCAGTCACAAATCCATAGTTATAAATCATTTCAAACTAAATTCTTATTAACTAGCAGCTTCTGCATCACCCTTTTCAACCTCTTTATTCGAACCATAATTATGGACCGAATGAGAAGAAGCAGCTACAGTAAGACAAGCAAGGCCTTAATAATCAGCCGCACAGAAATGACAGACCATCATACAACAATGCGACCGTCCAAACGAAAAGTTGAATCATCCATACACATCGAGGCCTTCTTCTCAAGGACAGGGTATGATTGTTCAACATTCACTAGCAAACAGGTTTTCCTAGCACAACAGGTTTTCCTAGCACAGCATAAGGACTAGGATCTCAGAAAAGAAACAATCGAAAGTTTGGTTTAGATAAGCGAAATCCAGGAACTAGATGCTAACCTTTCCTGACTGGAGGTTTCTTGAATGAAGAACGGAAGCCTGAAACACCAGAATGAGAAAACGAACATGAGATTAGTCTTCACCGATCATTTGCTTGAATTGTAGGGAATTGCATTATGTTCTTAGAAAGTTTGGTGATTGGTGGGGTTTTTTTGTGTGGATTCTGCCTAGGTTGGAGTGGTATCGAAAACTGAAGCTATTCGGATGGCTGAAGAAGCTACAATTCAGAAGGAGTTCGGAAGCAGTTGCTCAGTACTCAAGTTTGGAGTGAGGAAAGTGGTCTTTTGCATGGTTCAATTCAATGTCATCATTCACTTCTCTCCCATCCTGCACATGGCAGTTGGAATTTCAAAACTATCAACATATATAATAATAGAGTGCAAAGAAAGTCTGACAAACAATTAAGAGGTTACAGTAAGTGGGGGTAAAAGCAAACAAATGCATTCAGAATGGTAGGACTCCTTTGATTCAACAATATCATTTCAAAAGAAGCATCTAAAAGATCAAACACGTTTGAATCATACTTGAGAAGCATAACCCAATAAAGGGGGCTAGCAAAAGCTCAAAACCTCTTGCAAGGCCCCTGAAAACCAACAGCCTCTCATACATCCCCACCTCAAAATCCAGCACTGCAAGGAAACAAGCAAATAAAGCAATACAAAAATCAGTCAATAACAAGCTGATTTCTATGAAAAGAAAAAATCCATCAATAATTCTCCTTTCTAAGGAACTTGCATACTTCTCACTTCTCCCCAAGCCATGTTCATTATGGTTAAACAGCAACTCTAAGTTGCCCAAGTCTGTCTAACCCATCTTTCCATTTTTTTTCCTTCACTTTGTATTAGTATGATCAACGAGTATTTTAACATTGAATAGAACTGAAACCACTATAGACGTATTCTCTATCAACATATAGCTCAGCCATATCTTTTTATTAGTAGATCAACTTCATTGACTATTACTCTTTGAAGGTCAGAGAAACAACATCTAATACACACAAGCAAGTCAAAATCAGATGTGTATTCATGGACACCATAGGATAAAACTTAATAAGCTCACCTAGTTGTATCAAGAGCAACTTTCAGCCGCAAAGACCAAATTAGCTTAGACCGACCGAGACGATCCTGAAAATGATTAAATAAGTCCATATAACAAGAGTTATTTTCCTTCTCCTTATTTACTATGATGCTACACCCGACAATCACTTGAAATATTAAGCATATATATCGACAGATAAATTACCCAAATATCCAAAATCATGAAAAGCCAGATCTATGGGTCCTCCGTATAAGTAAAGTAGCTCTAGTTTATAAAAGTAGGCAATTCACCTAATTACCTTTCTGATCTTGAATCAACTGTCTCGCTTTCCTTCCTAATTCCATTCACCGTAAAGATCCATTATCAAACTCAAGTAGAAAGTAAGAATGATAGTTACAAAGACAATAAAAGAAAATGGAATACAAAAATCTTACACGAACATGTTTCAGCCTATCCTGAGAATCTCAAATGCGTTCACAATTATTGAGGTGTATTACCTCGGCTGTTAAATCAACACCAAAGAGCAGCGAGTTAGACTAAATCAAATGAATAAAGACTAAATGCACATGCACATGCAAAAAATCAAATGAAAGCATGAAATCCTTTGAGATCTATATCCGAAAATGAAAGTGCTTCAGCAAAGAAAGCCAACTCTCATCTTATGCGTACTAACAAACATAAGGGTTATTCTTATTAATGGACTTTAATAACAACTGTGAAGTCCAGAAAAGAGGGAAAGAGGTTATGGTAGTGATTTTTCATTTTATAAGTAGAAACTTACAGTAATGATGCATAGTAGGTTTGACATCACTGTCATTGTAAGAGCAAGAGCATATTTCCCACCAACATGCTGCAATCTAACCTTGAACGTACAGAGAGTGGAGAAGAAGAAGAAGAAGAAGAGGACATTTACTTGTGTTAGTGCTACTCCACTTGACAATGTAGTTGGCATACAACAAAAAAATGCCAGTCCTGTTCCAAATCATCCAGAATAAATGCAAAAAAACCAAGCTAATTTGAATTATCATAACATAATTAAGCTAGATTGACAATCATGCCTGTACTAAACTCTTGGGGTGCAAGCTGCACTTGGAAAATCAGCATCGTTGGGGGAGGACCAAGCATCAGTATAGAAGCCTGAAATAGAGCAATTAATAACCAGACCACTTGCCATGATACAAGAGAACATAAACTGCTTAATCACATCGACAGTCCGTCGGAAGATAATCAATATACCATTTCCTCCAAGAAGATAATGGATACATAACAAAGAAAAAGAGGTCATACTAGCCCAAATAATACAACAGGCCAAGCTTCAGAGAAAACAACGAACACTCTTCCAAGTCTAATAATGTAGGAAAAGCTAAATGAAGAAACTCTTCTTGCCATATGTCACCACTATCAACAGAGAAAACGACCAACACTCTTCATGCATGTAGCACCAACATCAGACTTATCCCTTTTGTTTTTTGTAGCTAGAACATGGTCTTTTGAGGGAATGACTTAAGGATTGGCCTAAATAAAGGCAATAATTAATATGCAGGAGGCATGGAAACAATAAAAATGAAATCCAAATTCTCAACCACTACCAACAAGAAATACCCAAATTGCCCATACGATTCACATCCACATCTGAAAGCAATCAACCATGTTCGACACAAAATGCCATAGGAGTCGTAACTATACAACAAATATATCCCAAACCCTGAACATTGACGAATTGAGAGGAAGGAGGAAAGGGGAATTGGAAAAAGAACAACGTAAGGATGAAGCGGATGAATCAGAGGAATAAGAGGAGACCAGGGCTTGCCCTGAGAAGCTCATTGACGGTGATGAAGGAGACGAAGGTGGTGATATGAGCATAGTGGCCAGGATGCCGTAAACCTTCTGGATCAAACCTCATCGGAGCTATTTCTCGCCAAGATCAAGACCTGGATATAGATTCTTGTTGTTTCCAGCCTCCAGATCCGGCTCCTTCCTTAGATCCTTCCATAACGGAGGAAGATCGCGTTTCCAATTAGCAATTCCACAGGAGCTTAATTGAAACCCTAAAAATTGAAAAACCCAATGTAATTGCAGAGGGAGTGACTCACCGAGAACACAGAGAAGTCGAAATTGTCGAGGATCGAGATCGTCATAAGGCTCCGAGCTCCTATTCCGACCCGCACAATCTCGACGGCGTTGCTCTGAGCTCCTATTCGACTCGCACAATCTCCGACGGCCGAGAAGACAAAGCTCGATTGGTAGTCTAATCCCCAAGGCGCTCGATTCGGGACGAAGAGCAGGCAGGTTTGTATTTTTCGTTTGGGTTTTTTAGGGATTCCCTGAGGACTTGGTTCTTCTCGAAGTAATGAAAGGACTTGAGCCACTCCCACTCGACCTCTAACATGTTTTAACTTTTTCATTGAAAATAGTTTTTTTTTTAAAATAATTTGAATCTGAACATATAAAAAAGACAAAAATAGATAAGACTAGACATAAAAATAAAAAAAAGGACACTTATTACTAAAGACTTCCACTTGCGCAGTGTTGGTGTATGTTATCACAGATCCCGACGGTCAATTGACGGAGAAGGCTTCCGTTGGAAACTATAGCATTTATAGACGGTCAGACTGACCGTCACTAAAAGGTTGTCGCTATATCAGCCTTTTCTTGTAGTGGTGGATCGACGCATCACATTATTGCTCCTTCCTTGGGGAAGGGTCGGAGCTTCCCAAGCTCTATGCCAAAGAAGAGCTCTATGCTCAATCGAGTGTGCCAAGGAAGGCGTAGTGAAAGCCTTGTAATCATTGATTCGCTAGGCATTTAGTTTATTGCATTTATATGAAAAGTATAATAAGCAAGGATTGTAAACACATATGAAAATTATATCGAAAAAGCTAGTGATAACTGTTGTTCAACCGTTTTATATCGTTAAATACCGCCTTCACATCTAACCTTCAATACGTAAAAGGTTTTTTTCTAGTAAAAAAGTCGATACCGTATGATTCTTCAATCCTACGTGATGCTATATAGTCGAAATGTCGATATCGTTAATACACATGATACTCTATTAAATAATTTTCTCTATGTATGTGATATTTTCCTACTCCAACGAAAAAAATAATTTTATGTTACTGATAATTATAAAAATTGACACAACCACATCACCAACAATGAGAAAAAATGAATAGTATCCACACGTGACTAATTAGTCATCATCTATTCATTCCCGCCGGCGGCCTTGTTCATAACGGAGGAGACCTTGGGCACGTGTACAGGGTACTCATCGATCTCATCAACCCAAGGATTCCTCTTCTCCTTCGCCAGGTCGACCGTCCGGAGCGCCCGCCAGACCGCGCTGTTGCACTTAAAACCCGACCCGAAAGCGATCTGCCAAGTCCGGTCCCCCTTCCGGATCCGGCCCTTGGCCTCGCTGTAGGCCAGCTCGTACCACAGCGAGCTGCTGGACGTGTTGCCGAATCGGTGCAGCGTCATTCTAGAAGGTTCCATGTGCCACTCGGTGAGGTCCAGGTTCTTCTCAAGCTCGTCCAGCACCGCCCGCCCGCCGGCGTGGATGCAGAAGTGCTCGAACGCCAGCTTGAAGTCCGGGATGTATGGCTTGATCTTCTTAACCTGAAAGCCAGAAATGTGAGTGATGGGGCTCGGCACTTAATGGTTACTAAATACTCCGTTTAATATGCTTATGTATTGGCTTACGCACTACATATTATTCCTTTAACACTTTGGTTTACATCAAGGATGAAAAACCATATCGTATGGCTGACTTTTCTGGTACAACCTCCGATACAATTTTTCAGTCCTTGATTTTCATTTTATTGTCAACCCGTTTAATTTTTTCCATTCATTTTATGGCTTATAAACCAAACACGTATAAAAATTCGAACACATTTAATATCCATATATCTTGAACTAAATTGATAAGTTGACCCCTATATTCTTCGGTGTACTGACCAGTGCACTCAAGTTTAAGATATCAAATTTTTATTTTTAATTGGCAGTATTAGTTCGATATGATTATATAAAATTAGATCACAACTAACCAATGCTTTACCTAGTTAACTGTTAAACCTTCAAGTCAGAATCCTAACCCTAAATACCAAATTCCAAACCCTAAATTCCTAACTACTAAATCTTTCAAGTTAAAGTAAATCTTGAATGATTTTTGTACTAATTCATTCACTTTCTTGCACATTATATCACAAGCGATCGTTGATACCGTCTATTCAAAATGACGATTATTAAATTATTAAGTAACATTAGTAAAAAGTCTAGCATACAGTTTTGAAAACCGACCTGAAACACCTTCCGGGCGACGAGGGTGGCGAAGAAGAGGAGCTGCTCCGACATGGGAAGGACCAAAGGACCCAACGTGGTGATGTTGGTCTTCAGGGCCTCCCCGGCGACGGCCATGAGGTCCTTGGAGAGTGACACGCCGACGCGCCCCGTGTCGTCCTCCCTCTGGAACACGCAGTTGTAGCACTTGTCGTCGGCGCCCTTGTGGGTCCGGACGGTGTGGACGAGCTGGTACTTGGAGCGGCGGCGGTCGGAGGAGCGGTTCGAGAGGAGGATGGCGGCGCCGCCCATGCGGAAGAGGCAGTTCGACACCAGCATCGACCGGTCGTTGCCGAAGTACCAGTTTAGGGTGATGTTCTCCATGCTCACCACCAGCGCGTACGAGTTGGGATGTACCTGCAGTAAAATAAAATAAAAATAGGTTAATTAACCGGCTGATGGTAGAAAGTAAATCGTTTACTATGTCAAAGTAGCCGGTGCATAGTTAGAGGTGAGAATTATGAAAATGTATCCAAGGTTATACTAGAAAAGTTAGTAATGGGATATTTTAGATTAAAATTGTGGTTTAATTGTTTTATACTGTTAACAGTTAAAACTGCCTATTAATTTGGTTCGGTATCCGATATTTCCAATCTGATCAATACGTAATCTGATATAATAGGGACTTCTCGGTCATTGATTAGAGGTAGTTGAACTGCCAACCCTGCCTATATATAAGTCTAATAATAATAATAATAATAATAATTATTGTATTGGACAATAAGTTATTGTGAGACAATGGGAAGTGTCTCAGGGAGGTGGGGAAGATGACCAGAAAATTGACCGACTACTAAAGCTACTTGCTATAGTTATAGGTAAGCATTTATGAAACCGTGGGGGCAATCGAAGCTTTCCCAATTGGAAACCCTCGACATTTGACAACCTCCCAAAGCTGGAAAACTTATAAGCTGTTTGGAAATTGAGATAGTGATATCACATAAAGTTAAGGGCACGTCTAGTATCATTGTCATACAATTGTGTTTTTATTGAGGTTGTGACAATCTAGAGAATATAAAGCGCTAAAATTGAAAACAAATATGTTTAGCTTGTAATTTTGAAAAATTTGAAAACCAGTAGCATAAATTGATTTAGTTACTTATCATAATTACAAAGTACCAATTTTTTTTAACATGAATGTAATATCTTTTTCATCCAGTCAATAAATATCAATGTTGCGACTAAGATAAAATTAGGAAAATAAAGTAGTGCGACAGGACAGTTATGATGAAAAAGTTGGTCTAATGAGATTTGCGATTAATATGGGAATATCATTTTGGAGATGAGTTATGCAAAAATTGACAAGAAAAATATGTAAAATGTTGATCTAGTGAGATTTGGTTCGTAACCTCATTTTAATGTAGCTATTCATTCAACCATGTTGTCAAAAAAAAAAAAATATATTCATTCAACCATGTAAAACAACTTTTAGAAATAATAACAAAGATACTAATTAAGGTACTTTTACTAATTTGTGCTAGTTTATATTGTGTTGCCAACTTATGTTATCACAACACACTAAAAAAATTAGAACTAAATATATTTTCAGTCTTTTTTAATATGAAGAAACAGAAACAACGAGTGATATTAATTAAGGCGAGCGTGACATATCTATCTATGTCATTTATTAGACGGTTCCATGCACCACTAACTGCAAGCTGGCCAACTATATACGTACGTACGTATGTGTATATATATGGTAATGTCGTGGTGGAATTTCCTTCTGCCCACATATATATATATATATATATATACATGCCGCCTGACGTAACCTCGCGAGTTAGGTCTAAATTAAATTAAGACGCGATGTTCCGGCTCCTCCACTAGGAATTAATTAACACGATAATGAAGTTAATGGCTTGAATTATGCATAGAGAATCAAGGAAACAATGAATGAATTAAATTTACCTGTAACAACTGGTTGGCGAGGTCGATGGAGATAAGTCCCGCACTACACCCCATCCCACCAAGATTATAGCTCATCACATTCCCCCTCAGCTTGTAGCGGTTGACCACCATGGCCGACAGCGACGGCGTGGGATTGAACAAGCTGCAGTTGACGATCAGGATCCCGATGTCCTTGGCCCTCACCCCGGTCTTGTCCAGAAGCTGGTCGATGGCGCCGAACATCACCTCCTCGGCCTCCTTCCTCGCCATCTCCATGCTTGGGTTGATGGGCTCCCTCATCACTGCCTCGGGAAGGTACGTCCTCTGGCCCAGACCGGACCGCTCCAGGATCCGCTTCTGGAACGCCACGTTGTCGTCGGTGAACGTCCCCGCCGCGATGGACTTGTCGTAGAAGATCTCGCGGGTGCACTGCAGCAAGTCCGGTCCTGGGGGCCTGTAGCAGGCGAAGTCGAGGAGATAGGTTTTTCTGGGGCGGGTGGTGGAGTAGAGGGTGGCGAGGAAGATTATGAGGCAGGTGCATAGCATGAGAGAGACAGATTTGGATTGGAGCTGGGCCCAAAGGTTGAGGAGATCTTGGGCCGAGCCGACGGCGAGGAGGGGGATGAGGAGGAAGTACATGGCGTTGGAGATGAGGTGGTGGTAGCCGAGCTTGACATACTTGAGCCGGACCGAGAGCAGGAAGTTGGGCTTATCGACCGTGGCCTGTTGCTGTGGTGGCGGCAGTCTCTCTTCTGTCATGTTCCGATTTGTGGCCCGGCGCGACGTGCGAGAGTTGGAACAGTACTCTTCCTTGGAGTACTGTTGTGTTGTTTGCCTTCACTACGAAATTGTTGGTTGGAAGGAATGTAGCGAATCACCTTTGGGGGGAGATTATTGAGAGGATGGAGAGGGAAGGGGAAATGGTATGGAATTGGGAGAGGGGGGAGGGATTTTAAAGGTGGGAGGGAAAAGGAGGGGAGGAAGGATGCAACTACCCCAACGAACTTTTAATTGTTGTTTGGCATAGTCCCGCGTCCAGGTCGGCGCGTGGTATTGAATTTCCGGTGGCTGGGGTGAAATGACGAGGTTGGGGTGGCGATGGGGAGCAATTTACTAGTCTGCCACGCCGTGCTATGGAGCTAGGACACGTGTCGTGTAGTGTGGTGAAGGTACCGAAGTTGAGTTGAGGCGGGCAAATGGCAAATGGGTTTGTGTAGGGGAATGGGGAAAAGGGAAGAGGAGAGGGACGACAAGTTGGAGTTTTAATTTGGGAGTATTAGGGATGGATAGATAGATGGAGAAAGTAATGATGTTGGTGAACTGTTTGGCGTTGTGGTTAGGTTAGCTTCTTCTCTAGTTGATCTTCATCATCTTCATCCTCGTGTATTATATTGATCGTAATATTAAATACTTCTATATATATATATATATATATATATATATATGGTTCATGCTAGCGTATATCTAATGTATGCGGTACGCCTGCCTTCACACCTATAAATTAATTATTTTAATTTAATTATAATCAATTTTATTATTAGTAATAAATATAATTATAATTATACACACTCGTTAACTGTTGTATACATTTTAATCCAACATCAATTTTTGTTGTACATTAGGCTCAATTCAATCATTTAACTATTTAATTATTAGTACTCTTTTCTCCTAATCATAAATTTAGAACACCCAAAATTTAAAATTATATACAAATTCATTGCTACTGCCTACTAATATAATTACAAGGCCGTTTTGTCCTGATTCTGACTTCAATCTTCATTTATCTTTTCTGGAAAAAACTAAGTCTTCATTCATCTCATCTCATTTGTCTTCTTCATCAGAGGTGATAGTGGTTTTTACCTGAACTCTTGTTCCTTTAACTCCCATTTTCTCCTGTTTCAGATCGTCCCGTCATAGACTTTAGAACCCCATTCGCCGCATCCCCCTCGCCAATACTGGTCAATCGGGAGCTGGGATCCCTCCTTTAGCCATCAATTTTGTCGAAATAGGTACAAGGAATCCCTGGTCTGGCTGTCTCTTTAGTACTTAGACACGAGCGCTTCACTGGCTGGCCCTTGGCTTCAAGACCTCAGTTGTCCAGAGAGATCTCGAACGGGAATTCTATTCCAGCTGTTGTCGGGTCCCTGAGGGATTTCGTGATCTCGACCGTCTCTGCTGCGGTAGATGAAGCGCCTAACAATTAAACAAATTGATAGTCGGGACACTCCTGAAATTTGAAAAAATGATTATCCTACTCTCATTTTCTAGTTTAGGTATGAGAATATAAGTGATAGTTTGGGTAATTCAAACATAGGACACTATTATTATTAATAAACATAATTTCCATTAAGCTACAAGCCTACAACTCATTTGTTGTTCGATATTAAACATTGTGTAATAGTAAGTTCTCATTCACTATCTCTAATTATTTTTTAAACCTAACAATTAAACAAATTTCAAGCTACCCTTAATTTGTATTGATATTATGGTTGTACGACAAGTGTTGAAAGAGTCTTTTCAGCTTTGGATTACATAAAAACAAGTTTAGGAATCGAATATGTGATCAATTCGTGAATGATTCTCTAGTAGGATACACAAATACAATTTTTTTAGAAGTGCAGGCACCAAGTGTATTCTACAATTATTTCCGAATATGAAAACACATAGTTTACTTTTTTTAAGTTGTACGAGTCAAGTATTTTCTTATTTAAGAATTATTTTTTAAAATGGAACCAGATCAATCTGAATGATTTACGGTTCAAATCAAACTGTGGGATACGGTTTGGTGGACGATTTTTCAAACGTTAATTTTGCCGGCAGTAGTGTATATGTAAACATATACTGTTCAGGCTATCATACTAATATATGTAATCCATTATATGTACGTAGTGCATTTTCCTTCTTATATATATAGTCAGTTGACAGTAGTTGAAACGGGTGGGCACCTTGTCAGGACAGCGGATCCCATGACTAAGAGCGGGTCCTTAGTCACTTGACTAAACCCCTCCTAGGCATTAGATCTAGACACTTAGCTTCAATCCAATGGTTAAAAAGTGGGAAGGGCTATTTAATTAATGACAGGGGTAGTTTGGGTATTATGGAAAATTACGAAGTATACAAACCGGATTTACCAATGTTGTCAGAACCGAACCGGAGTACGACCCGGAAACGTGAACGGCTCGGTCTTTAGTGGTCCAGCCGGCATTAGACCGTTTAAAAACCGTTTGAGAACCGGTACCTAATAAACAGTCATCTGTATAAATAGTGGACACTTCTTAATCATGGTAAATCACAAGTAAATTACTCTCTTAAACAATTCTAGAACAACAGTACCGAAAGATCTAAATTTCAATTCCAAACCACCACATTGTTCCAAAATAAAAGCAATATCACACGAGTCTGAACATGAAACAAGAGTCTTAAACATGAAAACCACTCAAAGTCTCAAACTCAAACAATTATCAAATACAACTTCAACATCATTTCATTCACCATCACTAGACTTCAACACCATTCATTCACCATCAGCATCGGATGAATCACTGCTTGAAGATGCCATGTCAATTGCTGTGCTACCATCATCTCCATCATAATCTAATAAGTAAAAAAAAATGTAAGAAATCACGTGTTAAAAATATATCAAAGTTGAACATTCTTCATTTACTAATATGTCAATCCAACCTTCATTGCGACCTCTTTTCCTATTTGTAGTTCCACTTCCTTCAGGAATGTCAGTAGCATTATTCTCACCCATAGCTTGCATCAACTCATCAAAGCTAAGATCTGGAGGTTGATCCTCTTCCTCATCCATAACCCAAAATTCAGTGGCATTAATCCATTCATAGTCAAATGGATCAACCAAGAACTTACTTTTTCTAGTACGAGACCTATGAATGATTAAATACAAGTCAAGTATGTCACTATTTCATGGCAAAAATATTTTGTACTCAAATCAAACACATTTGCTATTCATCACATACCTCTTTGCTAGCTTCATGTTGTAGTTCACATGGACTAGATTGCTTAGTCATTCATGCTCTATCTTGTTCCTCTTCTTGGTGTGAATCCGCTCGAACACACTCCAATTTCTTTCACATCCAGAAGAGGCAGAAGTTTGGCTTAGGACTCGAAGTGCAAGGTTCTTCAACAATGGTGCACTATCACCAAAGGTATTCCACCAAGCATCTACAAAGAAAAATAAGTTATTAAAACAAACACAATTAAATAGACCAACTATTGCATTAAGAATCATGATACTTCATATTACCTGGATCAAGTGACGATCTACCTCTAACAGCCAAATCCCTACCAAAAGTCTCCTTCGCTTCCTCGAACAATTTCAGTTCCTTACATGCTTGCAAACCATCACTACAAAGTTGGGGCTTTTCAAGCAAGTTTATTATAGCCCCCTTCACCTCAATGTCCCCTACATATTCTTTCTCATCATATTTGAGAGCAGGATTGAAGAAATAAGCTGCCTTGACTAGATCCCCCCGAAAATGCTTATCCCACCTTTTGTTGATGATGTCAATGTAAGGCTTGTACAAAGTCTCTTTACCCAGAAAGATCTCCTTGATTCCCTTAATTGCTCTTCTCATTCCCTCATAAACATAAGCAATAGTGGGATTCTCATCTGAATCCACAAGCTTCAGCAACTTCATGACTGGTTGAGCCACATTTACCACCTCCAAACAATCACCCCGAAACTGAGCATCTAACAATATAGCACTCACCGCCTTTCCTTTTGCAGTCTTAGATGATTCATCTGCATTGAAGAACTCACTCACTGCTAAAGCTTGTAAATCAACCTTGTGCTCATACACACTCTTCATGGAGAGGAAATTAGTAGCAAAGCGAGTTGCACCAGGTCTCACTATTTGCTTCCAATTTGGCCTTGCTTTCAACCAATTAATCACAGGAGTATGATTATAAACAAAGACAGTGACTCTTCTAGCCTTTTGAATGACAGCCTTCACATTATCCAAATCTCCAAAATCACCCAATATCAAATTCATGCAATGAGTTGCACATGGGGACCAATAAATATGTGGATAAGTCTTATGAATAATCTTACCACATGACTTGTAGTTAGCTGCATTATCAGTAACCACATGAACCACATTGTTCACGCCAATCCACTGAATTGCTTCATCAAATATCTTGAAAAGGTTCTTTGCATTCTTCACAATCTTTGTTGCATCAACAGATTTAAGAAAACAAAGACCTCTAGTACAGTAGACCAATAGATTGACCAAGCTTCTACCTTGTTGATCAGTCCAACCATCAGCCATTAAAGTACATCCACGATGTCCCCAAACGGCTCGGTGTTGATCAACAATTAACTGGGTTTCTCTCTTCCAATCAGCTAGTAAAGGCACCCTTAAATCATGATATGATGGTACCTTAAATCCTGGACCAATAGCCATTGCAGCATCAAACATCCTCTGCCAACTATCTGAGTTAGCTGCATTAAAAGATATGCAATTCTCATAGAAGAATTCTGCACAAATCATATGCGCTCTATGAATTGCATCCTGAGTAGTCATTGCACTTTTGATGCCTGGTTGCGACCCATGAGTGGTTCTTGGAGCAAAAAAGTCAACTCCCTTATCTTTCTTCATCAAGTCACTAACATTTTTCCTTTCCTGTGATCTCACTAACTCAATCACATCATCTTCCTTGTCACCAATGATAGGATCATTAGATTGCTTCTTCCCATCTTTCTTTTCTTCAAATTCTTTAAGAATATTGGCAAATCT